TGCACCTTTTTAAATATTGCTTGACAGAATTTCACTCATTCTTAAGTGTAAGAAAATGCCGAAAATTTCACTTTCTACACTTGCAAAACAAACGAATTTATTTTATGAAATGGTTCACAAAGCGAAATTTCTTTTAATTGCAATTAAATTATTGTTCTCATTCACAGAGTAATTCACTTTTCAATGCCTTCAATGACTTTGAATGTTGTTTGTGTAGTTTGGGTGTGTGTTTTTTTTACTTTGTTTTATTTTCCTTTTTTTCTTTTCATTAGTGTGCACTAGCGATTTTTCGATTTTTCTCCGCAGACGTGTCAGTTTCGTTTCAAACGCGAGCTAAGACTGTCACCGGCTGTCGAGTTGGAGCATTTAAGCCATTGTCTTTGCTCAGTGTGTCTAGTGTGCGCCCGCCGATCACATGTACAAGTGATCTCTTGCTCTCTGCAAAGTCTGGCTCTGAGATGGCAAACAGGTAGTGACAACTACGCGCTCAACTAAGGTTAATATGCTAGTGTACAAGTTTTGCAACAAAAATAAAAAATGATAAATGTTCATTCATTCCAGCTAAGATAGCTTACACCTGAGTTTCTCAAATGGTGATATTTGCATATGTGTTAGTGAGGGTGTGCATGAGTGTCTGTGTGTTGAATGAACTGCTATTATGTGAGACACGTGTGTAGCTACAGGTGAGGGTTTCACTTGGAGATCTTTGTAATTGCTTGCGCTCAGCATTTTATAGCTCTGGGAGAGTGTGGATTGCGCGAAAAAGCTGAGTAATGTCTTTTCGTATTCAAAGTAAAAAGTAAGATAAAATAAAATAAAATAAAGTCGGCGTCCAAAAATTTTGGTGTACTTAGGTGAAAATACAGGGGTATCAATTTTTTTCTTTGTGAAAATGCAGTTAAATTTGAATTTCAATTTAATTATTACTTCACTAGTTTGCCTTCACCCGCTTCGCTGAATGTATGAAATTTCTGTACTTTATTTCAATAAAACTCAACCTGCTTACACTCAGCCAGAAATATAGGAGATCACATTTTGTCTTTTTTAACCCTCTTAAAAATACTTTCAATCTAAAACCTTCTTAAGCTTCTATCGTCTGACACCGATATTGTTATACACATTTCACTTAACTCATTTAATTCAAGTGGAATTGTATTTTATGAAATGAAGAAATAATTCATTTAACTTATTAAATAATTTGGAATTTTGTTTTTTTAGAAGGAGGCAACCCTGCCTTAATTCAAGTTTAATTTTACTTTTTATACCGGTGGCAATCCTCCTTCATATAGTGCCAAAATTAAAGCTTTGTTGGCCATATTGTTGTATTTGATTTACCTCATCAAATAATTTGAATTCAATATCCATATACATGTTTCAGTAAAATTAAATTAAATTGGTTTTTTAAATAGGTGGCAATTCTCAACAACGTGTGTTTAGAAATAAAGCCTTTGAAATTGATACGTATATTGTAGTAATTAATTTAACTAATTTAAATTTAATTTTTGCATGATGTAACCAAGATGTTAACCTTCTCCTCCCCGAGACGAACGTATGCGTGTTTCCACGATCGGATCACGGCAACATAGTCTATCGATGTCTACCATAAGCGACTTTATTTTATATACATAAGTGTGTATGTACATTAGGGTATTAGGGTGGTCCTTAAATGTGGGAAACAAATTTATTTTATATACATAAGTGTGTATGTGCATTGGGGTGATCCTTAAATGTGGGAAACAAATACTTACATCAGATTTCCTAAGCCTCAACAAATACACATACAAATTTTGGCCCCGACGGGAGTCGGTTAAGGCGAGACACACAAGGGTCAAAATTCAGATTACCCTATGAAGACGTCTTAACCGACTATAATCGAGACCAAAATTTTGTATGTGATTTCTGCGACTTTAGTAGTATCGATTTTGAGTATTAAATGAAACAAATATTTTTAATTTTTTGAGTCTCCATGGAGCATTTGGCCTTAGACCCAATTGCGACACGCCCTAACCGACTCCAATAGGGACAAAATTTTTATGTGACATCTTCGACTGCGGTAGTAGCAATTTTGGGTATGAGTTGGCAAAAAAAATAGTTTTAATTTTTTGAGTCTCTATAGAGGAATCTGAACTTTGGACCCTGTGCCAACCGTCTCCAATCGGGAACAAAATTTATGTGTGATATCTGTGACCGTGGTATTACAGATTAAAGGGGTGAGAGTGAAAAAAAACTCGCTCATTTGATTTTTATGGACCACCCTAATGCACATATAGAGTGCATAAAGGCATGAATATAAAAATAACAAAATATCTTCCGAAATAACGCGTCCTGGAAGGTTCTTGAAACTATATTTCGCACAGATCGAAATCTTAAATTTCCAGCAAAAACAGCCATTTGTCGTCATGGCGGCATTACGCTGAGAATTGATGATGCTGCCGACTCACTAGCACTTCAAACAGACAGCAACGCCGAAGTGCATGCCGCCGTAGCCAAGATTAAGGCCAAAAAATGGCCAGGTATGGATGGAATCCCGAATGGCGTTCTCCAGCATATAGTTAGGAAAGACCTTAAATTTTTAGACAGTTTTACACAAGATGCATACAGCAAGGTATCTTTCCGGGGAAATGGAAGCAGCAACAACTGGTGCTACTAACGAAGGGTAACAGTCCCCCGAGGAGCCATCATCGCACAGACATTTGGGCATGCTGGATACTGTAGGCAAACTACTGGAAACGATTATATGCGCGCGGCTCCAAGTGATCGGGGACTCTCAAACTGGCAGTATGGATTCCGAAAAAAGGCGTTCAACAGTTGACTCGCTAGCTCCTGAGGGTAAGAGTTGGCAAAACTCATGCCAAACATGGGAGGCCCGAGACATAGAAGAAGGATGCTGCTTGCGGGCGTCAGTTCGTCCCTACTGATATATGCGGCACGAATTTGGACAGCTGCTGCATTCATACCCGCATATATAAGTGCACCGATAGGTATGCTGTATGTTCGTGACAGTATCAGACGAATTCGCAAATTTGCTGGCCGGAAGATGACCATTAGACATAGCGGAATAGGCCACGGCAAAAACCAAGCGCAGTCTTATTAACTGGAAAGAGACTATGCAACCGTGCATCAATGAGTGGAAACAAAGGATGAACGCGATCACGAAAGGGCGTTGGACGAAGAAGTTGATTCCAACGGTAAGCGAATGGATCGAGAGAAAGCACGGATAAACTAAATTCTATCTCATACAGTTCTTCACCGTGCATGGCTGCTTCTGACAGTACTTACACAAGTACACACGTGCTGACCATCCCTATTGTCTTTATTGCGATGGTAAATACGAAAATGCAGAGCACATCCTTATGGACAGCCATAGATTCGAAGACGAACCCAACCAGCTCGAACCCTGTATAGGGAGCGCAGTGCCCCCCAAAGGCCTGCTCAAGGCTATGCTGTCTAAAGAAGGCATATGGAACGAATGCGCAGATATCACCACTGATGTAGTGAAACGTCTAAGGCACGATGAAGGAACAGCGTGGCGCGAAAACCGCACGTTGAGGTATGATACAGAATAACGTCCAGTGCCTTCGTTGTGAAGAAATGTCGGAATTAATAGTCCCGCGGGGGTGCCACAGGCACAGCGTACGTAGGAGGTTGGGTATAGTCCGAGTCGTAACCAAATAAAAAAAACGCAAACACGCACAAAACTTCCCACATTAGCTTCGATGTCATAACTGGCTGTGGCTACGGAATACCAGGTGGGGCTACTCTGTAATGCGATACGAAATCCAAAAATGCGATGCGACAAGCAACCGACACTGCGTACAAATTTACCCTCACAGGTACAAGAAATCAGGGTATGACTTAAATATAATGGGTGGTGATATAGTTATGGAACACAGTGTATATACATACATACAATTGTTAACAATTTAAAAGCTTAAAGGCAGCTCCAATTATTTACACGTAGCTTTAAAATTGTATTTAACTGTATTCGTTTTACAGTTTGAGAGTAGCAGCAAAAAAATCTGCAGCAAAAGGTGTTGGTCTTGACTAAGCCAAACATAAAGCGATGGTAAATTGTAGCCCTTATTAGTGGTGAATTTTTTGTAAATACATAAGAGGTTAGCAATTCTGCATTAGCGCCACCAGATTAACAATAAAAAAAACCAACATCAATAAATAAGCAAAGTAAATAGATTGAAATTTGGAAAAAGCGAGACATATTTGCTTTAAGGGCGAAAGATATTCCATATTGCAAGTGTTCACTTTAACTGAATTTGATTTTTTTATTTAAAGACATCCATATTGTAAAATTTCTTTGAACTTAAAACTTAAAGTAGAATTCAAATTTTAAGCGGGGTGTATCCCTTTTAAAAAAATTAGTTATATGTTAATCTTGGTCATCTGTATGGCATATTTAATGCAAATAATAGCCAGCAAATATGCTCTCAAATTCACTCACACACTTTCACATTTATAAAATTAATAGCATTTGATTTTACTTGTCAATTCAATTGAAATTGAAAGAAATGTTTTATTTAACTTTTTACTTGAATTATTTAGAATATCTCTCGTTTGATACCTATATTAAAACATTTTATTCAAATTTGTAATTAACCTAATTTTAGCTTCTCAAAAGGTGGCAACCTTTTTAAAAAATATTTTCTTAAACAAATAATTTTTGAGTTGATTTCGTTTGACAACCGCATTGTTGTGATATTTTAGTTAACTTATTAATTAATCGATTTATATATTTAACCGATTGCAACACTCTCAAAAATATTTTCGAAACAAAATTTTCAGTTTGACACTCACATTGTTATAATATTTTATTTAACTTATTGATTGATTTAAGTCCTGAAAAAGGTTGCAGCTCCCTTAAGAATATCCTATATATTAATCCAGCTTATAGACTATCTGTGCGCCAAACGTTATCGAAATTCGTTTAGCCGTTTACTCACAAACTTTCACATTTATAATATCAGTATAAGTAATACGAGTATCATTCACTCACCCGGCACTGTTTCTCCATTGAAAGTTATCTGCACAGTGTGTATGCCCGGCTCGTGCGGTGTAAAGCTAGCTACAAAGCGTTGACCGCCCAGCGAACGTACCGACGATGTGACACGTCCACCATTGACGAGTATTTCCAAATTTCCCGAACCCGCCTTTGAGCCATCAATCTCAAATTCAACGGGACGTCCAATGGCACCGTTTGGTATATCTTGTACACGTATAGCACGCGCTCCGGTTGCATTGTTGTCTATGGGTCGAAATCGCGATAATGAACTATAACCATATTGACCATTTCCAGCGCCCGCACCACCAGAAGTGCGCTCCGTAACAACGTGTTCACTAGATTCCTTAACAGTTTTTGTATAGCCACCTGATTTGTCGGTATAAGTGTTGTTCGAATGTGATTTCACTGTAATGGCACTGGGTCTGTGAAAGTGAAAAATTCGAATTATTTCGTTAAAGAGTTACTCCATTACAAATTTCATTTGCTAAACTCACTTGTAACGTTCCACATCATCGACAGAATCACGTGATCCACGTCGATCTGAGTGATATTTCTGTTCTTGTAATGCAAATTTGTTGTATTGTGTATTGCGATGTGTTTCGTGATCGATATCGGGTCGATTATACGAGAGGTCCGTATTTAGTTGCTTTTCCGTCATATTTGCCAAAGATTCGAGCGAATTATGTGAAAGCATATGCTTGGTTTTATTGATAACATCCCAGCTGTCGCGTCGCGCCGTTGTCGGTTTAACCGATGACACACGCACATTCGACGAATGATCGATGCGCGGTTCGGGTGAGGCAGTGCGACGCAAGCGCTCGGCAGTTGTGTAGAGCGAGGGGCTGGCACGTACATTCGAATCGGAAACGTAGTTAGAGGTCGATTTGTATGTGGACGATTTTTTCAACAGTGCGAGAAGTTTCATAGTCGGAGCGGTTAAGACCGTTCTGTAAGTGAGAGGAAAAAATTAAAAATGTGAGTGTCTGAAAGTGATACAAAACTTATGGCGTCCAGACGTGGAATAAAAGCCAATTCATTTAATTTAAAAGGATTGCGAATAAATAAGTACAAACTGTGGCTATGAAAAATCAGAAGTCGGTTTTTTATTACGACTACAACGTCCACGTCGTGATAAAAATTTCATCCCCAGAACTTTTATTCTGTTTATTCTGTGCGTCAACTGAATGATAACCAGCTAAGATCAGATGAAACTGCAGAAAGGCTCGCTGCTCCGAAGTCGTGGCTAGGAAGTTTCGGCTAACTAATCCCCTTCTCACTCGCTAGGAGGTTGTACAGGAACGTCCTAGCTTCAGTACAGCCCAGTGCCGCTTTTCGTGAAGTTTTTTATTGGTCTGTGACTGAGTGGGCGACCAAAGCCTTTGATGAAAATCATAACTAAGACAATGCCTCAAACAACAAAAAACAATACGCCAAACGCTTACTTCTACAGGACATGAAAAACAAGGACAAGCACTCCGTACTCTCTGCGAAGGAGCAGCTCGTTTTATCTAGTTGGAAGGCAGTGGCATCTGGCGATGGAGTCAGTACTGTGAGATGTACAGCTAACACTATCTTTCTACTTCAAAAGCATTTCGGCAAAAACACTAAAAGCAGGCTTTATCTATAGCTGGTAGGGGACCGTGCACGTAACGAACGCCCTTTCAGTTGGCGGGGGATAAGTGACCGCAAGAGCTTCCACAAATAAGAAGTTTTCTGCCGACTAATCCACGAGCGCATCGGCGAGGTATAATATACTGCAAAGGATTTTGAGGTCCGGTAGTCTTAAGTGGCCTTATCGATAAGTTCGTGGCAGACCCGGATACTTACCGCTCTAGTATTAATACCACGGAAGTGGTGCGCGGATACAGAATGATAAAGTGTGATGATAAACTCTCTAAGAACTTTCTGTACAAGAGGTTGACAAGTATTGCTGATACTTGGGAGAAGCTAAGGCTGAAGCTTAGCCCTGCCAATGAAATGCTTTGGAAGCAGAAAACTCCCATTGGCTTCAGACCTTGATAGTTTGCGGAACGCTACTTAATATTTGAGGAACTCACGAAGAGCGATGTATTCCGGACATGTTTCTTGTAATCCGATAATAATATGTAGCTTTTGGAAAATGCGGACACCAAATACCGCGCTCTTTGGTAAGCTAGTTAAAAATTATGTATTGTGGTTGAGAATTGCCTGATTAGTATAACCTAAGTAAGGTTGCATTTCTCCTTTGGGAAGTCCAGCCCATTATGATGTCATATAAGTGAACTCTTAAAATATAAAAATCTTGCTGCCTCCAATACAACTGTGTTGGAACCACCGTATTTTCTTAAGGAAGCGTTGAAGATTTCCAGAAATTCCTACATGACTATATACTATAAAAATAGTCTAAGTAAGATTTTTAGTCGCATTACCGCTCAAGCGGGCATTCACCACCTCCTACTCGTCTTCGAGGCCCCGAAAAAAGTCATAACCTCCGCTAAGTAGTGTCGTGCAATTCCCCATAAGCAGTTCGGAGTATCGTCGTGGAACTATCGTATTGTCTACCGAGGTGTTGAAGATGTCTTAAAATTCCCAGACGGCTTTATACTATAAAAATAGTCTTTTTAAGACTTCGGTGGTGTTTTCTCTCAAGCGGGCACTCTCCAACCTCTCCTCATCTCTTAAGTCTTGAGAAAAGTCATAACCTCCTCTAAGTGGGTGCGCGCAATCCTCGCTAGGCAGTGCGGTGTAACGCTTTCTTCGGCAGAACTAGAGGGCGATTCTCATTTAGTCGAACCAGAGCCAGATTGTCCTTGTTTCCTATAACGTCGCTTTGGTTGAAAACTAATACGCTTCCGTTGGGCAAACCCCGGGAACCCGAACACCCGAACCACATTCGTGGGGGCCATTACGTCTAACTAATTTATAACTTTTCAATATTATTTCCCTAATTTTTGCCTTGTAGACTCCCATATGGGTCAATAGAGCGAGGATTCAGTAGAAGTTCAATACCTTAACTTACGGTGGAGTATATGACTCTTGTAATAAACAAAAAGTTAAAACCAATCGAATTTGTTCTTGGATCTAGGATCCTATAAGAAAGAGCCCATATGTACATTCAGTATTTTATACCAAACTTCCGGCCCCACGAACTTCAGGGAACGGCCTTCCATGTTTCAGTCCCTGTTTAAACTTCTACCACTATTGATGGTATATATTTTATCCCGATAGAGGTTGCCATACCCTCTATTTAGAGAGGGAGGTCGAAAAGATGGCAGTTAACTTAATTTCCACCTACTAAACTGTATAGCGTCTTCTACCGCTTTGACTTTGTTGCTTTTTCCATTAACCTAAAAATCATTCGTGGCGTAAGCCCCAATAACCTTGTTGAAACAAATGGACTCGCATTAACAAGCAAATATTTTCAAAATTTCATAGCTAAAAGACATTGTGAAATACTATAATTTAGCTCACCTTATTCAGAGTTGTGACTGGGCTGCCGATTCGATGTGTGGCTGTTGAAATGTAGGCGTTGCTAGGCGAATAGCGTTGCACCGGCGAAATCGAGGTGTGTCGTGGACTGTTGCTTAAATTGCGCGGATTCGATTCATATGGAATCGAAGTTTTAATTGTCAATGGACTGTGGGTGCGTACTTCACTCGAGCGTATCTGTGAGAAGTGCAACGCAAAAGCACAAATGTTAGCAAAAGTAAATAAATAAATAAAAATTATAAATTATTGGCAACGTAACAATTGAGCAGTTGTACCGAAAAAAAAAACAAAAACAAGAAACATTTAACCAAAAACATTGAAAAAAAAGTTATTTAATTACGCTAGGTATCGGGCTGAGACGTGTCGTAGTAAAAGTGCTTGCCGCCTTGGCGCTGGCGGTGTGACTCTGTTGTTGCTGCTGCTGCTGCAGCACATGGAATTGTTGGTAAAGCGATGGCGCCTGCGTTGGCGAGTCGTCGAAGCGTTCTTCGCGCGGTGGTGCCAACTTCAAGTCACGATCTTTACGTTTACGATGATACGAGTACAACTCATTCTCTTTGTCGTAGTAGTAGTCGTTCTTGGTTGTCGAAGAGTTCGAAGAGACCTTCGAGTCACGGCGTGCAGTATTTAGGGTATATAAATCGGTCGAATTGAAATACTTAGTATTAGGCGAATTGTTGTGTTGATCGCGTGTGAGGTATTGGGGAGCCAGTGGTGGTGGAGTGGATGTTGCCAATTCGTCCTGCGCACGCAATTTTGTGATGTATTGGAAAGTGCGCGCGCGGAAAAGTGTAGGTGTAAGGATGCATGGGTAACAAACACATACGGGTACATACAAACATACAGAATGATGGGAAGAGAAATTAGAGATATTGGTTAGTATAATTTCAGTTTTTACACAGCGTTTTAGTGGCGGATGCGCGGGTGCGAGGCGGTGTGTAGCGGTGCTGGTTTCATTTTCTTTTTATTAGGAGTTAGTTACAGCAGAATGTTATTGTTAGTGAGAGTACTTTTTACATCATAATTATTTACTAAGTGAGTGAGCGAAGTTACTGATACTCAATGCTCGCAGCACTCTGAGCTGGATAGCAGTTAGCCTAGCAGCTTATAGCAGCTTATTCTACATACGCATGATTTTAGCACAAATGTCCACTCCAAGCTCATAAACTTCAATTTATTTTTCACCCCCCTCCCTTCCACTTACCTCACTCTCCCTTTTGTAGTAGCTCGATGTGGTGCGGTAGTCGTTCGCATCGACCTTCGGCGATATCTGTGGTGAATATGATCTCTGCCGTTCCGAGCTATTGTGATTCAATAAATCTCGCCGCGATAGCGAGGCTGTCGCTGCGGATGTTGCGTTCCTGTAGTCATTGTGCCTTGTATTTGTAGTTGAGGTGTAATGCATTGAAGGACTCTCCGAGCGATGTTTGCTCTCGTGCAAGGGACTACTGCGCGTTTTGCCCGAGCGGCCCTTGGTGCCGACGCGCATAATGAATGGCGAGCCTTTCACATCGTAACCATTGAAATATACATAGACACGATATTTGCCATTATGACGTGGCATGAAAGTGACCCTGTATTTATTTTCGACAATTTTCTCAACGGAACATACAAGCGAGCGCTTATCATGTACAATGTCAACATGCAGTTCGCCAGTGACGCCAACGCCGCGCGCATCCACTTCGAAGGAGTGCGCGCGCAATGGCATAGCGCCATCCAAACCATGCACAGAGACACCGCTGGCGTCGAAGACGGCACAAGTGAATGGTCCGCCCTGTATGTGACGACCCTGATAGGTGATGGCGATTTCCCAGATTCCCGCTTCGTCCGGCTTAAATATGGCACTGTGTCCTTCGTCGACCTTCTTCAATGGGCAGTTGTGCGAGATGCCAGTCGGCGAGACGGCTGTGACCAGTATGTCTTCGGTCTTTGGCGCGCCGGTTGCATTTACCAGCACTTCAACAAGACTGCCGAGTGCACAGGGTGCCATACCTGGTGGCGCTACTTGTATAAATCGTGGCAGCACACGGAAGAAGTGTCCGCCCAAGCTGTCCTCGCCGATCTCTACAATAATCTCGTGCATGCCGTACTTTTCGGGTATGTAGACACCCTCGCCATGTGGATTTAAACGTACCGGCTGTGGTTGACCTGATGGCGGTACTACAAAAGCTTTCACCGTGCTAAGGCTAATGTCGCGCGAGAGCACATCGATGCGGAAGTGAGTCTGTGGGAGAGAACTCAAATTAGGGAAATGTTAGTTTTTGGGTCTTTAAAAATTTCAAACTCACCGGCTCGCCGACGCGTCCAGAATTGCTTTCCATAAGTACGTTTATGAGGTCAGAAAGAGGTGGGCGCGGTGGCACCCATTGCAAGTGCGCGGCATAAGCCATTATGCCTAAATGCTCTACTTCAGGGTTAGCCATGTCCTTGGGCGTGAGTATGGGTTGTACGCCTAGACGCTGACCAGCCTCGACTGCTTTGCGTATATTGTTCTCATAATGGAAAGGATCGGT